CCCTGCCCATGGCAGGGGGGTTGAAACTAGATGATCTTTAAGGTCCCTTCCCACCCAAACCATTCTATGATAATGGAAGATCAAGGCTGCTGGCACTGTAAATTGATTGGCTCCTTGGTCTGATTTGCATTGTTACTCTCATAAGTATTTGTGATGGGGTGTTTTTTTTGTAGTTTGTGGGTTGTTTGTTGTTGTTGGTGGTTTTTTTGGTTTTGTTTTTTTTTTTTTAATGGGGAGAAAAAGGGCGTGTGGCAGGGTGAGCAAGCAGGGGTGGAGACTCTCCTGGCTGTGATGGTCTGGGGTGATCACCGAGTTACATCACAAGTTTGGAATGAGGCTCTCCGGAAGCAGAGTGACTCTTGATTACCCAGCAGAGCCTGACACAGAAAGCATGTAGTAACAGTAATGTTGTGAAAGAAACAGTTGAAGGAAACATTCTGGAATAAATTTTAAACACAGAGTTTATTTTCTTGTTAGTAGTATTTGCTCTCCTGTTGCAGTCAATGAGTATGTGTATAGAATACATAGAGTGGAAGGTGGATGTTGCTGTGGATATATAGTCAGTTAATTGATTTGTGATTTGCCAGATTCTCACTAATAAAAAGAAAGCACATATTTGTATTTATGCATTTGTCTATATGCACTTATATTTTGTATGTTTATCTTTCTTAGGTAGCTATCTTCATATCCATAACTTCATATTCTGTGTGGTGTGGAAATTTTTTCTTCAGATAAAATTTACTGCTTTCTTTCCTGTTTTGTCTTTTCTTTTAGACCTGAGCTTTTCAGCTGGGATAAAGTTATACAGATGTCCCCAGTTGAAAGACTGGAACATGCTTTCAACATAGCCAAGAACCACCTGGGAATTGAGAAACTGTTGGATCCTGAAGGTGGGATGTAGTTATTTTGCTTGACTAGAAGCTCTTTTGAGCTCTCTTGAAAGAAAATACTTCTATTGACACTTACTATGAATACAAATTCCAGCAGTTTTGTATAGTGATGTTTTGTTTCAAGCCCTTAAATTTGGGTTTAGAAGAAGGTGATTTGTACGGTAAGGGTATATCTGTGCATGCATATGTTTCAGCTTCTTGAATGTTAAGGTTCTGATTGACTTACCATTCAGGGACAGTATACAGAAGGTGAAGTTTGTACCCTGGCTTTGTTTTATTTTAGGTAGGAGTTCTACCTCAAGGGTCTGTGCTTTTCAGATGAAGTAAAGCATTATATGTCAAATGGGATACTTAAGACCTCTTGGTCTTTTTTTTTCTTTATATGTACACTGAGTAGCAGCAGCTGCCAGTGCTGTGAGTACTTACTGTGTAGGAATGCTTACCAGGAAACTTTTATGGCTCCTTTTTTAAATGCTGAGCTGTCACTCTGCTTTGAAGTGAGCCTCCAAAGATTCATTCTGTTAGACAAGCTCTCAAACTTTATAGATTCAAGCACCACCTTCTTAAAAAAAAAAAAAAAAAAAAAAAAAAAAAAAGTGTTAAGTGAATAGATAGCACTCAAACTGAGAGATAAGTGAACCTGAGTTGGTGAAACTCTTTTCTTTATGAAAAGTAAGAAATTGAACTGACCAATGATGGGTGTGAGGATAGAGCCTAAGTGGAAATATTTGTTTATGGGGGATACTGTCCCTGAACTGCATTTCTGCTTGGAAGATGAATTATTTTCAGAATAATTTTCCCCAAAGAGTTTTTATTCCTTAGTAAATTCAAGTTTGGGCTCTTACTCAAAAAGATCATGTCTTTTAATATGAGTTCACTTCTAACTGTAGAAAATTTATTTTAAAAATTTTTTTCTCCTTCGTACTGCTTTCAACATATGTCAAACCTGGCATTTTAACTTAAAGCTTGCTAAACACTACTTAACAGGAGAATCTATGATTTACACTATATGTAAAGTCTTATCTGTATTCTAAGTAATGATTCAGAAAAGCAGCTTCATTCATTTTTCCCCATATTTTATCTTTTTGATGCAGATGTTGCTGTACAGCTTCCAGACAAAAAGTCTATTATCATGTATTTAACCTCTTTGTTTGAGGTCCTTCCTAAGCAAGTCACTATGGAAGACATCCGGGAGGTGGAGACTCTTCCAAGG